TTTTCATATTGTGAAGATATTGTCGAAGCACAGTTTTAAATATTTTATTAAGGCAAAAGACGAAGAACTTTTTAGTGGGTTAATCAACCATTAACCTATTTAGAAAATCTACGTTGGATGGAAATCGTCGAAAAAAAATGAAAACTGTTTTGATTAAATAAGAGTGAATTTTGATTATGTAAGGAAGAATAGGTTAAAAAAAAAAACTGTAAGGTACGATCAACTAACTTACAACTTCAGCCGCACCCCACCAATAAAGAAATAAAAAAAATCACGACATTCTGGTGCCAAAAACTGGAGTTTTCAAAGCGGCCTATGCCGCTCATTTTGCTTACGATTGGCCATGAGTGAGAAAAATTTGCATGCGTAGCGATCGCGTCTAAGTGGAATTTTTTTTATTTTTTTTGCAAGCAGGAGTCAATTTTTTTCTGTAGTGATTAAATAAATTTTTTTGTGATTCATCAGAATACGATGAGACAACCGAATAATAAAAAAAAATCTCTATAATATAATTCAGAGATTTAAATATTTAATCAATGCAAAACAGTTTTTCTACTGTTAGTTTGTAAAACCAATTCAATACTAAAGCAAAGGAGAAATGGCCTCCTCCATAGGAAGAATTCTGCAAAAGTTTGCATCTTTGAGTTGTTCATGTGGCAGATTCTTTCTGTTTTTATTGTCCTATTTCTTTTGATCTTTCCTACACACAGCCATATGTCATGACTTGGCTTCTTTTGTCTTCTTCTTTGATTAGTGACATGTCATGACAACGTCGTGTTTAGCTGTTTGGCCTTTGATTTATTTTCTTTCAATGTCACTGATGGCGTAAAAAGGCCGAGAAAAACGAATTTTCTTCACGCCGTTCTTATTGTGACTTTCGTTTGTTCATTGCCAATGCAATGTTTTGTTTACGTATTTGTTAAAAGTTGAGTTTTTCTTCCTGACTTTTATAATTTTCTTCCATTCTTTCTACAGTACTTTCAAAAGTTATCTACTTTATGTATCGTTTGCTTTCCTTTATAACAAATTTTAGAACGGGAACACATTCTGTTTTATTCAAATACTTTAAGTTTTCTTCGAATTTCTCCCTTAATTTTTCTTTCCTGAATTAGTCTTCATATCTTTCTTCGTGTTATTAAATTATTTATTTATTTTTAACTTTTCTCTGTTCTTTTTTTCTTTTTTGTTAAATACCTTTTCTTTTAATTTTCTTTTTGTTATTTTTTCAAAGTCTTTGCTAAATTCTTTTTCTTTTAAATCTTCGTTTTTCTTTTAACACTTATTTTAATTCTTTTTTTTAATTTGACTTTTTTAAATTATTTTTTTCTTTCAATTCTTCTTAATTTTTCCTTAATGCTTCTTTATTAAATTCCTTTTCTTTTCATTCTTCTTTGGTAAATTATTTTTTTCTTTTAATTATTCTAAATTATTTCTTTTAACTCTTTTTTTTTATTCTTTTTATTATTATTATTTGCTAAATTCTTATAAATCTTCTTGATTTTTTCTTTTAATTCTTCTTATTATCTTTGTTTTTTAAACTTCATCATGGATTACTTTTCCTCTTAATTTCTATTTGTTAAATTTCATTTCTTAAATTTGTTTTCAAATTTTATACTTCAAATTTGTTATATATTTTCATTCAAATTTTCTTTGATTTGAATTCCAAATTGTTTTTAGTTTTTTGCATGTAAAATATATTTGTCTTGTTAATTTCATTCTATGAATCTTCTATGAAATATTTCAAAGTGTATTTATTCTTTTCAATTTTTCTCATCTATCTACACCCTAACTTTCTTTATCTATCTACACTCACTCTTTCTTCATTTATCTACACCTTATCTTTCTTTATCTATCTACACTCTATATTTCTTTATCTATCTATATCCTATTTTTCTCCATCTACACCCACTCTTTCTTCATCTATCTACGCCCACTCTTTCTTTATCTATTTACACCCTATCATTACCTCTATCCTTCACTTTTCTCTCGTCTTTCTTTCCTTCATTAATTCCTTCTCATGTTATTTATTTCAGATGTCTATATTTATTCTTCACCTTTAGCATAAAACTCCAAATGCAATAGCAACACACCAATGAAAAACAAATATGAAAACAAACAATATTAGTAATCTTCTCAACGCAGCACGCAAGCACACATACAAGTACGTAGACTATAGCAAAGTCTGCACTTTCGTTGCTCGAAGCATGTTTCTTTCAGCGGTTTTACGTGTGACTTAAAAGCCCGAGGTGAAAGACTGCCTTGCTATGGGGGTAAACATGTTGACTTACTGAACATGCATGGAAGGCCTTTACCATTCCGAGGTAAATCGCAGAGACCTAAAAACAAACATGACAACACTTGAGACTGTTCGTGACGTTTCCAATTTTAACATGCGAAAGTTTGTTTTATTTCATATATGTTTTACTTCTTTCTCTCACGCATCATTTTACTACTTTCGTTCGTTCAAGCAAAAACTGTATCTGTTGTTGCGTTCACTGTATTATGGCTTCACACAGAAGTTTCATTTCAAGCAACGACTCTATAAGACCTGTTGATATGAGAAAAATATATAAAGTACAGTGGATATGGATAGTGTGTTATCCTCTGCTAACAATGAAAAAACGAATCTGTAAACCTGGCTAGATATGTTCCAAAACTTCTGCATTTTTTAAAAATTTTTACGTCTACTTGGGATTACCAAATTTCGAATTTCAAACGTGGCTTTTGTTCCAATCACAAGGGTTTATTTGAGAAAGGTATGAATCTGTAATAGTATTGGTGTTAAGATTAACAAGAACACCAATGTAATTCTATCATGTATAAAATTATTTTTTTATTTACTTCTAAACTTCGTAAATTAATATCGGCCTAATTGGTTGTGGCTTTCTCTGAACGCGGATCTTTTTCGGACGAAGATGGTTGAGACACTCTCTCCCCTTTCAGGCTTCCCCACTTGTGCACATTCTAAGCACAGCTGGGTCAATCATCTGTTTATACCTCGGGGGACAATTATTGACATACTTCAGTGTCCGAATCAGCATCTGGTGGCTATGAGTCAGTTTCTAGGTTAACACTCTGACGTACCTAGTTTTTTTTTTTTTATGTTTTCCTGTGACACTTATTATTTTGGTGCCTCTTAATATATGCCCAGTCTATTTTGGAGCCAACAGGAATGAATCTATCACACATAGAACAAATTCATTTCATATATTCGTTTCCATTGGCAGAACTCGTAACTGTTTAACAAGGCACTTGCAGCAAATGTTCATACCCCCTAAATATTTCTGATAATTGTCAGTAAGATGTATATGAAACAGACTTTATTTACTAAATACTAGGCTATTTCTGGTAAATAATGTATTTAAATCAAGAAATCCTTGTAGGAAGTGTTTCATATGAAGAATCACAACAAAGATTAAGAAAATATTTTGAAAAATAGTACACATATCCCAATACATGATTCAGTGTGACATTAATATATAACTAAATATTATATGTAAAAATGATCTAATATATATTTGGACAATTTCAAATAATTTATGTTATGCAGTAATTTAGTTTAAGAAATAACAAATTCACATAAAGTTACATCGTAAAAAAAATTCCTTCAAAGAAAATAATATTTCTAAAATTAAATGAAATTTATGAGTTTTCTGGAGAGTAGATACGACTTTTGGGATACTGAATTGACAAGTCAAGGGAGCATTTAATACTCACTTCACTCTCTCTCTCTCTCTCTCTCTATATATATATATATATATATATAGAGAGAGAGAGAGAGAGAGAGAGAGTGTGTGTGTGTGTGTGTGTGTGTGTGTGTGTGTGTGTGTGTGTAAACGAAACCTGTCCGGGGAAAGAAAATCACCCATCTAAATATATAAAGAAGAGTACTTAGATTAATAGCACTTTTCCCATTCAGACCCTTCTCTTCAGACTCACCTTAACCTCTCGCGTTCTTCTTAATCTCAGCCACGGCTTGAAATCTTCAATCTTCCAAAAGTGACATTAGTTTTGTGTAAATGCAGTAGTTGCATGGAGTCATAGGTAAACTGTAAGAGTAGGTGACTTATATGGGTAAAATGTACTTCTGCCAAAAATACCTTCATTAGTCATGAAAGATCTTTAGACATAGTCTCATGGTTAAATGCGACGGCAGCAATATACAACCTTATTCAGTACTGCCTAATCGATATCTACACATGAAGATCAATGTGAAACCCATGAGCAGTATGGTTCTTTTTAATTATCTGCGAAATGATATTTGCGCATAATCAGATATTCAAAATTCAGAACCTTTTGTTCTATCGGTAATCCCTCTTACTTGTTCTATATCATGCCTCTCTCCATTTTTGTCACTTAACTAATATACATTTTATACAATATTGATTTTAAACAATATACATTTTATATTTTCTGGTCCATGATTTATGCATTTCAATTTCTATCTTTTAGATATATGCCTTTCAGGATTGCTTCTTTTGGTCATTTTTGAAGCTGGTTTCAAGTCAATCAATTAGATTCGATGTTTCGCATCAGAATATCAAGGCTGATATTACGTATTTATACATCATTTAAGCAGCTAAAACCAAAGGAAATGATAGATACTGTAATTTTTCCCCGATCATTTGGCTAACTTTTTGGGATAATCAATTTTGCACAAAACCTTCCTTTTCGTTTGGCTATGTTTTTAAAATAATTTACATACTTATGATAGGAATGTATATTGATCGATTGGTTCGTTTTCTACCGCTTATCAAACCTTTGCTGATTATTTAACGTCAGAAAATATTTTGGAATTGTAAGAAAGTTTTGAGATAATAATGATTTAGTCATAAAAGTCCTACCCACCAATCCATAGTTGTGAGGGGGGGATGGGGGATTTATACCTTTCTCAAAGATAGTGGCGCGTAAGTGAATAAAACAAGCCCAACTGGAACTGAAATCAGACCTCCGATTAACAATTTCGAGCCATTATCTTCACGCTACACACAAAGTCAAGGTTACAGCACCTTGTATTGCCAAACAGACGCCCATCTAGGTACTGACCAGGCTCTACATTGCTTAACTTCGGTAATCGTACATGATCCGGAGTTTCAACTTGATATGGACCTTATCTGATAGCAATGTAGTAGGGTTATATTTGCGAAGGTCTTTCTTATCGCCTTTTTTTTATAAAGTGTAATTATTGCTGACGTGATGATTTGAAGTACCTTTCTTAGCCGTATATACTGGGTAATTATAAAAGGATATGTCGCCATGTCATATGCTGCTGTAGTTCTGTTTCACATCTTAAAGTGCAAACATTGTTAACAATATTAACCTTATAGCATTTGCATATTCATTTTTTTTAATTATTTTTACCTTGCTCGATTGTTTTTGCTCGTTCATTGTTCGTTAGCAAGAGAAACGCCCCAAGAAGTGAATAACAAATTAGAGACATTAGAATCAAACATTTGTAGAAATTTATCTATCTGGGAAAGATTGTAATAATCGACGGAAAATATGGCAAATAAATCCGACAGTGCATTGAAATAGTGAGAATTACCCTCCAGAAGATAAATAAAAGAAGATGAATATTAAGAGACGGGTAGAAATTTCGTTAGAAACAAAGAGACTAATGTTATACTGCTATGTAATATAAATGCTCTTGTATTGTAGTGAATGCTGGAAAATTTATTCACGGTTGACGATGAGACTTGAGGCAACAGAAATGCGCTTTAATAAAAGAAAGCTGAGAATCCCATGGGGAGCTGAACTTTTGATCAACGACGAACTTGTCGAGAAAATGGAAACAAAAAAAAAATTCTACTTAGAATTAGAAAGAGGCAGTTGAAATTTCTAGAGAATATAATGAAGGAAGAGGGTTTGGAGAATTTGACACTCAAATGGAATACAGAATGTAAGAGAAGCATAAGAAAACAGTAACCAACTTAAAGAGTTTGAGTAAATGGATGGTAGAACAGTGACTGGGAACGGTAATAAAGACTTACACATGATATAAACTTGGGGAGAATTATAATTGTCTACTATCTGAACGAACATAGGACATATTTATTTTATCTATTTAATACTACCTTTTTAATATTAACCTTCTTACTATGTCCACTTTTCTTTTTCTTCGGTTCGAATTTTGACGTTGTGTATTTAATTTTAGTGAATTTTCTTTCTGTTTGTTTCTCCTAATATATTTATTGTTTCTTTCCTTTTATATGTAACTTTCTGTTCATAGTTTGTATATCATTTTTGTTCAGCCACCAAACTTGAAATCTCATTGATTCTTGGAAATTCGATTAGATTCTCTCTGATGTGTCTAGGATTTTTTTTCTTTCTTTTTTTTAAACTTTTTTTTAGATTTTCTTTTTCTTTTTTGACTCTGTAATCCACCATTCCATGATCGATTCTGGAATTAATATTGTTTATGGCGGTTACATGTTTAACTACATTAGCTTTGTTGGTAATTATGGAATCAATTTCAGGTTGTTTCTTTGTTTTTAGTTTTTATTCGAGATTTTTTTAACTCCATTCTCAGTTTCTTCAGCTACGTGTATCCACTATTGTTTTCTCTGAGAAGTTAACTAACATTTCCATCTTTTGTTCTACTTCCCTATGCGAAATTATCTTACATTTGATTTCCAATTCATTCTATTCCCTACTTTTGCAATGAAGTCTTCCACCAAAGTTGTTTAATTAAATTTCGCAGTCCGCATCCATATTTATGCTTTTGTACTAAACAATCAATTTCATTATCCGTACTTTTTTCAGATTGATGCATAGATTTGGATTACTTCCTTTTACATTATCAAATTACTATCCAAGCTTTTCTTTCTCTTGTGTTATCTTGCTAATAATTCTATGCCATTGGACTTGTTCTCGTTTCCTTTAACGAAGAACGAAGAGATTGTTTACTTTTCTCGGATCCTCTGTAATACCAGTCAAGTGCTAGATGTTCAATCCCCTAAGGACTGGTCCAAATCCAAGTCTTACTCGTTATGTGAATTCGTGGATCACTTTCGTATTTTGTTGGCTTTTGGGGACAGAAGTTGATTTGGTGTAGATGGAGAAGTATTATAGATAGATGTAAAAGAAGCATGCAGTAAATGCAGATATCAAAATTTAGAAGATTGTTATTCGGTGTCAAACAGTATTTTTGGTAGGTCATTTTATTTGGTAAATGCGTGTAGTCTTTTAGACCAGATGAACGTTATAACAACTTTATTTGCTTTTGGTCATCTCAAAATAATTGCTGGTAACTTTTGCTGTATTTAAGAGATAAATATTAGCGTTGTCAAATTTAGAAAGCTTTTGATTTTGGTTTGATTTAATAGATTTGGATAGTAATCGAGAATGAACATTTGAATAGTGTGTCAGATCATCCGAGCTGAAGCACACTTGAACTGATTTGACAGAAATGTGTATTAAAACACATTCAAACACACACATGCACACACAAACACACACACGCACACATACATTTGTAAAAAGGATGACAAGAGGAAAAAT